TAACCCAGCATGCTTTTTGTCTAATCTCCTTAACTTTCTTTTCTCAAATAAATGGAACATCCGAAAGGTCCAGAGCTGAATGTTACAGCATGTGAAAGGCTTTCCTATTGACCTCTATGTATTTGTATATTTAATACCTATTACATATCCATTCATTTGCTTACATGGACACTACTCTGCTTAATCAATATAAATGCCAGAAAACCATAAATGTAAATTCAAATTCTTCTTCATCATTTAAGGTATTTTAAAAAGTGGCTATAGACTTCTAAATATCTAATACCAGCATGGGTTAAGAAAACCCAACGACCTGCACGCATAACAATATTTAATTATTTAAAGAAGGTTCTAATGGGCTGTTAGATTACAATAACCACTTTCCCAGAGAGCATGTGTGGCACATACAGGCTTAGGAGGGGCTGAATTAATATTTTATGAACTCTGATGGGGAGCCAAAGCAATTTCCAAGAGAGGGCTCCCCCTCCCCCCCTCCATTTGGTAGTGGGAGGAAATTGAAAGAGAAATGACCCATCAATCTTCTCCAGATCTAATGACTGCAAAAAGGCACGTACATAGAGTAATTCAGTAAGTGATACGACAGTGCCAGATTGAATGAACCACAATTATGAGGAATGAAATAAGGTTAGGGTAAAGAACTAATCATCTTAATATCTTTCCCGGTCAGTTTCTACTCTTAAGACTGAAGCACTAGACTTATCTTCCATTTCTGCTTGTGGGGAAAGAATAGAAAAGGATATGTTTTGTGCCAGTTGATAGCTAATCCTTCCTTCTTGACCAATTTTCTTGTTCTAGTCTGTAAATATTATGTTCAGTATAATTTACATAGCAGCATCCCAACTATTTTGTGATGCAGCTCTCCTCCACAGAAGTCAGTTGAGACTGTTTCTTGGGCAAAGAACAAAAAAATCTACAAGTTGTTCTCTAAAAATTGCCAAAAGTCAGATTCTCCTCAATTTTGGTGTAACTTCTTACTCTGCAGTCAAACATGAGCAAATCTTTCTTGAGAAGGAGCTAGGATTGATTGCTACTACGGAGATATTCTGTGATGTAGCAGGAAAGATCAACAGCAGTTTCCCTTTAGCAGACCAAAGAAACTATTAAAGCAGGCATGCAAGAGAGGAAGGGGGTAACCAATAAAGTCTTTTTTTCTCAGACTTCACTGCTGCATCTTTAAGTGTATGTGATGAATGACAACCCTTTTTCTTTTCCTAAAGTGAACCTTAGGTCAGGCTTATACGATAGTAAATAGCACATAATGAAGAAAACATGGTGCAAAGCACTTTCTGTTCATGATACTCATGTCAACTTTCATAGAATATTTATGCATTACTGTATAGAAGTTCCAATATAACAACTATACATATGGGCTAAACATATGTAACATAAATGTGGTGTTACATGGGCATCCTGTATGGAAATTAGGAAGGTCATTATATTTAGGTCATGCAAGAACTTTCCACACAGTGGTCTAGTAACCTCTGTAGTTTCACTATAGCCTTATTCTGTTCATTTGTATATCAGTACAAAATATGCTGAGGAGCACTGCCAGCTTTTAAATCTTCAAAGTTTTCTATTGAGCAAACAGCATCCTGTACAGATTGATATGGGTTTATCAATTTTATATCTCCAGAAATGGCAGACTCAAGGACTTCTTATTATTTTCCACTTTCCACTCATTAACTTTACTACATCAATTCAATCTAACAATACTACATCAATTGAGTAATTCGATTCAAGTATCTCTTTGTGGTATGAATCAAAAATGATTCTTTGCATCATTTAAAAGCTCCCATGGATGCAACTAGAAACACATTTAAACTGCTTTGTCTGTGAGTCTTTTAAAAAACCTACAATTATGTTTGTTCTTCCTTCTGAAAAAAATTAAAAAACCACTTAAGATGATTTTCTTTCCACTGAAGAATGCATCTGATTTTAAGCTCTAAAAGTCATTCTTGAACTGATCTGACTGAAACAAAAAAGCCAAGTGAAGACATGATTTTTAAAATCCAGCATCATCTACATGCAAAAATAAAATTTTGGCAAGGATGAGACAGAACCAGGTCACAGAGAACTATTAAAGCCATACATTTTCAAATTGATCAATGGTTTGTATCCAATGTTAGTCCCTCAACCATTTCAATGGGTCAACTCCAAATAAAATTGGATGGAACTTCATGAGTTGAATTTGGGTTTGACTGGTGTTGTTCATTCATGAGGTTAGTTGACATCAGTGGCCCACAAATACAGGAATCACAGATCACCAGCAGGAACCAGCAATTTAATTCTGGTGATGAACAAAAAAGTCTCCAGTAGATTTTACAACAGGAATGACTTAAAGAAACAAAAAGAAAAGCAGTTCAAGAAAGCAGAGTGCCTACTTCAAAATGGGGCCAGGCCATTTTGCCTTGTTTTAGGACATAGCATCAATGCTGTGGGTTGAAGGGCAGGAAATATCATGGTCCAGGAAGGGCTGCTACAAACACTGAACTTTGCTCTCGCAAATTAAGCTTCCTTGCTTGGCAACTGATACAAATGTAAAGCACTTACTTTGCCTCTCCTTAGCAAGACCAAACAAACAACCCCTGCAAACAAACAAACAAAGCTATCAGAGTGTTGTTGCAATAATAGAAATGGTTGGCCCCAAACCTCAGGAACAGCTCAACAGAGGCAAGCTAGGCAATTGCCTGGAGCGCTAAGATCCCAGGCATAGCTACCTCAGCTGTATTTTGAGAGTCTATTTACATAAAGGAACCTCATGGGGGCAACTCCTCAGCTTGCTGGCTAGGTTATATAACCTCTATATTTCAAGGGTATTCAGATGTCCATCATCTTCCTAGAACACAGACACAGTTATAATGTGGAGGTGCAATGAAGGAACAGATGCGTGATGCACACAAAAGAAAACAACATCTGGGGCAATGGGTGATGTTGCTCATCAGCATCCAGTAAGACATACGTTTGTCCAGAGATGGGTGGCAGGGCAGGGAGATTTCAATTTACCCAGAAGAGCAAAAGACCTTGGGCCAACCCTGTCAAGCCCAATGTAACATTTGTGGATCCTTGGTTACCCTCAGACTCAGCTCAAAGAATTTTGCTGTCTGGGGCACCCATATTCATTCTACACAGAAGCAGGACCGGCGGATGAGTTTTATCCCAGTCCCGGTGATGGAATAGCACAGTCCATGTGCGCCTGAGGGCAGAAGGCTTGCTCCAAGGGCCCAGGGTAGGTGGGTGGCATGCACAGCTCTCTTCTCCAAGAGAGGGGAGCAGCAGGGCAGCTCCAAAGGAATGATGGTTCTGCTGCTGCTCTCCTACTGAATTTGCTACAGGTTGCTTTGCTCTGCACAATGGCAGGCCTGACCCTCATCCCCGTTCAGCAGAAATATTGTACTTTTGGTGTTCTAACTCACAAGACAGATCCATCTGCTACCCTTTGTATTTTAGAAAATAAAAATACAGGGAAGGGGAAAAGGAAGGTCCGTACATAAGAAAATTAATTTTGCAAGGTGTTAGCAATCAAGGAGACATTTGCAACAAAATATGGTGAAGAAAAGCATATGTGAAAAGTTGAACTATCCTTGGAAGTACAAGGCAAACTTGGTGAAAATGCCCAAGTGCAAGGCCAGAAAGAGTTCTAGATAGGACAGGCAGTCTAGAGAGGGTATTTCCCCGTTTCTGTGAGTGCAGCAGTTTCTGTAAACTCTGCAAGAAATGTGCAGTTTTTCTTGCCCAAAGTACAGCCAACCCCAGGACACCAGGGACTCCAAACTGCATCCATGTTTTCCAGAGTTCCAGATTTTGACTCATCCAAAAGAAGATTCTCCTAGCCAAAAGGAGATCTGGTGAGGAGACTTTGTGGCTGCTACAAAGACAAGCCAAAGTCCCAATGAATGGGAAGAGTGCAGGTTGCATAAGGCGGCGTCAAGAGATGTGTTCTCGTTTTCTGGTGCTTGCTGGCTGGGTTGGGCAAGAGAAAGTTCCTCACATCTTCAACTTGATCAGAGGCTTCTCTCCTGCATGAGCTAAGGTTCTGCAGTGGCCTTTTGGCCCACGTGCAGGTAAACTCTGAAGAAAGCATCACTGTATTGCTCAGAGTCTGTAAAGAAGAATCCCTGCTCCTATATTCTCTACACAGACAAAGACTCACATTCTGAGCAGGCAAACAGAACATCTTCCCCTCCACCCCCAGTTCTTGTTGAGCACCCAGTGAAAAATGTGCCTCCTTCCATGATAATTTTGGAAAACCGATGCTGTTCCAGAGAGGTGGGTTTCTGAAATCAAGGAAACTGGAACACAGTTTTACAGAAGAAAGAACAGGCACCCAGGAGGAGACAGTGGCCACCAGGCTACATGGAGCAGCGCTTTGAAATCTGCTCAGGGGGAGTCCTTTCTTTTTAGCCATGCCCCCTTGCCTCTCTAAGTTGTTGTAATGCTGCGACCGAGAGCAGGCATGGGCTAGGCAAGGTCAGTGAGCCGTATCTGGCTTGCCAGGGCTTTCCCCCAGAAAAGGCACCTGCGGGTCAGTTCTCCTATAGGAGAGCACGCGTCCCTTCAGAGTATGGGGAAAACAGCACAGATCAGAGGACACGTGTACGGTTTCAGCAGCATGCACGGGGGGCTGAGCTTTTCATCCCCCAGCTGCCCTTCTGTTCTCCCAGGCTCTCCTGTTGTGCTTAAATGGGCATGACTTCTCTGTTTCTCAGTGTTGTTAAGAGGTAGCAACAACAAATACAATGCCAACAGCGGAAGCCTATCATGCACACATGCGTGGCAGCTCAAATATTACGGTCAACCCTTTCAATGGCCTGCTCTCTCCTACTCGGAAAGCATACGACACGCACCAGCACATCTGCCTAAACATTCTCGCCCCCCCTTGAAAGGGTTAACGTGCTGCATGCTCATACATTGCCAGTGCCCCAAGAGCCAAGCCTGTGTTCACACTGCCCCATGCCTGCTTATGCTGCTGGCTGGTACAATACCTGAGGTCGGGAGTACTTCAGAAGGTGCCGTGCCAAATACAGAGAAGGGGATCATGAGGAGAGGAGGGAAAGAGAGAAGACAGGGAGATATAAAAACCACATCACAGACATGACACAGACACTTGGAGGGCTGAGGCTGGAACAAAGAAAAGATGTATTAGCACTCAAATCTCCCACGGCTGCCCCGCTGCAACTTCCACTCAAACCAGTGCAAGATTTGGTTCCCTTATCTTAATTTCTAGGGACTAAAGTTCTGCACAGTTTGTGGCTTTAAAGTCAATAATCGCAAGCCAGGCGCTGGTGATGGACAAGGCAATACAGCATGCAAATGACCACAAGGATACCGTACTGCATTTGAATCCCATGGCTTGAATCATGTGTGTGAGAATGAGAAGCAGTGGCTTGGATAGATCTTTCTTTCCATTTATAAATGCCGTTTTCATATTTGGAGGAGAAGAGAGATCTGGGCAATATTCTTTAGTGCACTTCTAAATGCTTAGCGGCAGATTGCTCATTGCCTAATGGACCTAAATGCTCAGCCTACAGAGACTGCTCAGTATTCATTAATACTCAGACTGATCTACACCTCGGCTTTTATTGGAAGAGCCTGCAAAACCTCACTGGAGGCTCCACTAAGGGCCAGCGAAGTACGGAAGAAATCCTTGCTGAATTCCAGTTTTGCATTCTCACACTGAGGCATGCATGGACCTTTGCAGATGCCATGTGCTGAAGTCCATCCCATTCAGCATTTTGCAGGCTTCTTGGAACAAACAATAACAACGGCATGCAAAGTATTCCTGCATTTAGTGTCAACAGGCAGGTAGTCACCTCAGCTCATGGGTGGTTACAGCTGGAAGCTGGTACAGATGAGAAGGAACCCCAGTGCCAGGACAGGCACCAGGAGAGTTTTCCACATGTTAGAAACACTGCAGTTCAAACTTTTCAGAAAGCTCCACTTGTCTTGCAAGGCTGACAGACTTCTGTCTCATTGATGCAATGCAGCTGTTGCTTATTTTCAGTGCAAGAAAGGTACAAGGTATTTGGGAGGAAAAGGGTATTGTGAATACATCACCCTTTTCCAGACTCTTGTTATTTTACATAACATGAGATAGCTTCTGTTGTAATGCAGAAGGCTGGCAGACGCTGTGATACATGCACTATTACCAGTGTGGGCAATATGTGGCTCTCCAGATGTTGATGGATTGCAACTCCCATTGTCCATAGCCAGCATAGCCATAACACTGCAGTCCAAAAACTTCTGGAGGGTCCCATGAATTCCCACCCTTCAGTAACAGAGCACCTTCCTCAGATTAGATGTGATAACAAACCATGCTTGGTCATTATAAAAATGATCCGTAAGAAGCATCAGGCTTACATGCTTCCTCCTTCCCTTCTTTCTTCCTCTGCAAATAAGAGAAGCATCCCCTTCTAATTTACACTAAACCATTCTTTGCCATTTCATCCAAATGCAGCAAATCTATGATTTCATGCAAACCACCACTTGCAATCAAACCAGGATCCTGAGACAGAATTCAACTGTGGCTTGGGATCCTGATTTGTAAAATGCTGTTTACCAAAACATAGTTTGACGATTTGGATATATTTGATTTGCTACCAATTACATTGAGAAGCATCTTATTTCCCTTTCTATATGTGCAGGAGAGCAAAAGGAGAGGAGAGAGTGTGAGCCTGAGACTCACTTTGGTTTTTTCTTATAACAAAAAATGTGATTTGTTATGTCTGAAGGCAGCCAATGTATTTATAGCCAAAAAGATAATCCCTACTTCAAAAATAGGCACGAAAATATATTTTAGAATGCTGTGTGCTATGGCTCTTTGGTCAATTCAGATTGTTAACAGTATTTCAAAAACATGGCTGCCAACATCTAACAAATCCACTAATAATATATCTAGAAATATCATCCTTTAGTTAAAGGTAGTTAAAATATCCACCTTTTTTTCCCTATGCAGCTTTGCAAATTCTAAGCAAAATCCAAATTATTATTATTTATAAATAGATTCAGTGTACCAAGTAGCTTAGAAATCCTTGTTACTACATAAAAAATGCTGAAAGCCTGCCTCCCTAAAGATCAATGAGAAATGATGCATTTTCAAAAACTGTATTCAAGGAAAAAAAATTTCCCACCTATTACAGTTCAGGGGAATAAAAGCAACAGCCCATTAAATAAAATAAGAAACCAAACTGAATTTGGGCTCTTTCTGAAAAAGCTACAGCATGCTAAGAGCCAGCTTTGTTTCGCTTTCCCTTCCCTGAGGGCTCCTGAACTTTCACTCAGTTTGACAGATCTTGCACAAAGAGTATTTTATCCTACCATGAATATGCAAGTCGATGCATTTTCCTAGTGAGGGTCATTGGTTGATTACTAGGGTGACGGGAAAGGGCCATCTTGCATTTCCAGTTTGTCTCTTGCAGTTTGCATGGCATATAGGCGATCGAACACATCTGTTTTATAACTTTCCCTATACCCATAAAAAATCATACTGGCATGAAAACATATGGGGATTTCGGGGATGCTTTGATGTTGGGTTCATTGATTGGTTTACTGTAATCCAGCTGATTAGCATACCAAAAACTAATAAAGGATAAAATATTTCTAAAATAAGCATCGAGAGTCTTTCTTCTTCTTTCAAATGCATTCAATTGGTCAGTCAACAATTTCCTATATCTAATCAAACTACCCCCTGGCATATACAATTCTAAAGGCTGTAATTGTATAGATAACCAGTTCTTTTTCTCTAGAGAACACTTTTCAAACATATATTGAAAGATATAACAAATTAAAGCACACATTATACTTAAAATCCTCTTCATTACTTTTTTAGCTTTCCTCTGATATCTCTTGTTAAGGGACATGTCTGATGTAGACAGGAAGGTAGAAAAGCATCTTTCTCATTTTGACTTTTCCAACAATTTAAGCTGTAGTTGTGAGGCAGTTTCCGGTTTTCCACAAATATTCCTGTACACATATAAGTTACTCCAATGCATTTAGTTCAAACTTGCCTTTTCTTCAAAGGGGTCTTTATATCATCATTTAGTTCTTAGTTTTATTATTTACAAAGTGCCTAATTTCATCCTCAAAAGCACTATGTTATGTCCAATTTTTAATTTCCTTCCTTCCAGAAGGTACAAATGTTCCTTGCTGAATATCAAACTTAAGATAAACCATTATTGAACCTTTTTATTACATTTAGTAAGCCAGCTAAACATGCTTTATATTTATTTCATAACAGGAACTGAGAGTAGTTAAAAAAATCTTGTTCTAGCTGATAGCCAGTGGTTAACGTTCTGGACTAGGAACAAAGCAACTCAGTCCCTATGAGGTAGGGTTGGCTGAGAAATAGTCAATGTTAACTATCATTACAGACACTAATAAAAGATTGCCTAAAGTCATCAATGAACCTTACTAATGAGCATACTATCAATTTGATAATGGGTAACTTGCCTAATGCCTCTAGCAAATTTTTCTGCTCTTCTCAAACCTCTTTATTTCTACTTCTCTCAAAATTGACAAGATACTTTGATCAAGCAGGATGCATTGTCAGCCCTACACAACTCCTCATTTTGAGGGCTATAAAATGGGGGAGTTGGCCATTTTTCAGGGTGGAGGGACTTAAAATGCATCAAACCAAGGGACTTGGCTGTGGTGGCAAGCAAAGCTCTTCCAAACAGGCAGTGGCTGCCATTTTCATTTCCCAGAATCCATCTGGGGAGTGAGAAAATGGACACCACTACTTCATGATGCTGCATTATCATATAATACTATTTCCAGGTGGATTCTGTAAAAATATAAGACTTCAGTCAAGAGTTCCTGGGAAGGGCTCTATTTGCTGCTGCTGTTCCACCGGCAGTAGTAAAACCAGCAAGGAAAGGGGAGCGATTTCCCTCTTTCCACCTCCTGACTTTCACATTTTGACAAACTCACAGGGCACAAGCAGTCCACCAAGGGAGCCTTGAACAGGGATTCCCAGAGGCCTTGGAGCCAGACGTTCCCAAGGAACCTACCACGTCCCCACCTGGGACCTTGTGCTCCCTTTGCCAAACAGCCTGTTCAGGAAATAAGCCAGGAAGGAAATTATGCAGAAGAGATAGAGTGCTTTGTTCCAGGCCAGGAGACTGTCGCTTTAAGCTCGCCACTGCCTGGAAAAGAGGCAGCAGCAGCATAAAAGGACTCTTTAGGACTTCCAGCTTGGAGCTGTCCAAGGTCCTGCAACTCCAGTCTTACTTGCACCACCCTCAGGTGACTTGCTGAGCTCAATGCACTCCTCTTCAAGGTTAAGAGTGAACAAAGGCATCCACCATGGGATGTGCCTACTGACCATGAGAGCCTTCCAAACATCTGGGGGGGGGGGCAGGGACCACATAGCATACACAGCTTTATTTGGGAACTAGGCAGCTCTAGGTGGGGAAGGGATCCCTCTTCTGCCTAGTTAGATGCCAGGAATCCTAATGTGGGAAAGATGATTATGAGCTGTGATTCAAATCCCTCTCTTCTTGGCCTGAACTCAGGTGGAGTTCAAGTTGCTTATCAGGTCAATCAGTCCTTCCTTTTCTACTCATTCAGTAGAAAGCTGATGGATCCTAGTCTCAAGCACATGGCAAGGAAAGAAAAAAAAAGGAAGGAACGAAAGAGGAAGAAAATCATACTTAATGGACTTATAGGTAGCTAAGATGCACGGAATTGTTAATGTCAGTAAAATCAAAAAATAGAAAATGGAAATTCATTTGAACGGATTTTCCCATAAATTAGACTTAGAAAAGAACTTAACACCTGAAATTATATAGCAAGTGGAATTATGGTAGTGGAATCTCTTGTGATACTGGGACCAAGAATAGAAAAACTATCATAAATAAACATAAGAACAAAATATGATAAACTAACTAGTACTGCCAAACTATTACTGGCAGATTGATCAGCTTGGAATATTGTTAGTACTGGATAGCATTGTGTCATAAAAGCACATATTGAAAAGAAAGAGCATGAGAGAAGTAGTAGTATTGCCTAAAACTTGCTTAAAACTAGCCCTTTACTGATGCTTAGCCTTTATTAAAGCTGCAACAACCTTTGCAAAATTATCTTTCAGGGCCAAATAACACAACTCGTCATTACAGTATTGGATATTTATTTAGGGTACTTCTAAATTGCTTTTCTGCAACATACATATTATTAAAAATGCTAAGGCTGAATCCATCTGCCTTAAATAGAAATAATGAATGCAGGACCAAAAATGCCATGGAAATGGTAGCAATTGTGTAGGTATTTTAACATCAATCAGGAGTAAAAGAAAATACATTAACATCAGTTCTACATTCATTGAACAACAAAGGCTATTAAAACCTCATTCTTCCAGTATTTGGAATGGGGAAAAATAATACAGGCTTTTAAAAAAGGGCTTTAGAATAACACTGAGAAGTTCTGAATAAAAGCTGCTTTACGACTTTTTCATCAGTTCTTTCTTTGAAATATAAAGACCTTTTAAAGGTACTTTACCAAAATAAAAATCTGTATCATCACATACCAGGTGGAATAATTATGCCATATCATCTCACAAAAGAAAAGCAGTGGGAAATCACTCAAAAAACCCTTTATCAATAGTCTCTACATTCTTTTGAAAACAGAAAATAGCTAGACTGCAGCGACAGGCAAGTGTCTGGAACATCATTTACTCCATGGTGAATTTCGCCGTCAATGCTGAGAGGCAAAGGACGGAGCATGAAGTATATATATATTGCCATCACTAGGTGTATATATTGCCATCACTAGTAGGATCCAGACATAGGTGATTAACAGGAGCCCTACCTGAGCGGTCTAAATCCTGCAGTCAATACTGCATGAAGCAGGATTGTGTCAACAAGCCCTACTCTTATTGCTGGCTTCCCTCCCATCTCAGTATCCAAGAATTAGGAAAATGTCTGAAGAGGGGAGGGTGCAAATAGGTCTCTCCCGCCGGTGGTATAGAAATCTGCATGGAGAAGGAAGACTCCTCCTTTCCCAACAAGAGGATGGATGCTGGATGGGTGTTGGGAAGAGGATGAGCTGCAGGAGCAACACTCTACTCTTCTGCTCCAGAACTCTTGGATTTATATTACCCAGGGTGATTTGTGTTTATCCCGATAGGGATACCAGGTCTTCACAAGTTATTCTCATAAGGCATTTATTAGCCGATGGCCACAGATACATAGCTAGAAACATGTCTGGCTCCATTCATACCAGGAGTTCTTTTTCTGTCTAAGCTATGTGCAGATCCTAGAAAACTTTCAACACTGTCACCACTTCCAGCTCCCCAGGGCACAGTTCTTACACTCCAAGGTGGCCATGGAGCCCTCTTTTGACTTACCTTCATTCAGTGGAATTGGTGACTCCCCCGTGGAAGGCTCACCTTCCCCAATCTGTGTCCTGCCACGCAGGTTGAACCTGTAGCGTGATATGGGGTCCGTCCTCTGGAGTAAAAACTTTGTCTGATTAGGAGAGAAGTTCTCTACCATTGTTCTGCCACTCTTGGATCCGTTAACTGGAGAGAGAGGCAGGCTGTGTAGGCTTCAGTCTTGCTTTAAGAAATATGCTAAGCTACACATTTCATCACCTCTCATCCTAGGACAGTACTGGACAGAAGCACTGGCTACACTGTGTAAGCTGAATGCATATTAATGTTAAGAGTTAATTTAAACAAAATCAGCCAGGGAACTTGGGGTGACTGAGATGGAAGAACTTAATTAGTCCTGACAAGTATTCTAACCCGCTTGGAGCCCAAAGACAACATTGTGCTAGTCCCTAAAGAGGCACTACAATGCCCAGCTCCAGACTGGGGAAGGCTATAGGATTTGTTATGGATTTGTTAGTGTTGAGGGTTCTTATAAATAAGAATCAATTGGACAAAAAAGAAATTCCTCATTTAGTGACTCCTGTTAGTGACTCCTAAGGGAAACTACTGTATTAGAATATGCCATGCAACTTCCAAAGCGTTTCTGATTGTGGATTAATAGAGAGACAAAACAAACAAAAATGCAAGTATGGGACATACAGGCTTGGTATCTAAGAGTGTATCCAATAAGAATGCCATTGGGATGTTCAGGGTGCTCCCATTCCAAAGTGATGGTTTCCAGGTTTGGCTGGCGTATTCTGAAGTACCTTGGGGCACTGGGTACTTTAGGGATAGATGGGTCCAGGAGAAAGAAGGGAAGAGGAGAAAGACATATAAGGTACTGTATCTGAAAATGCACACTGGTAAAATACTACACACAAACAAGTTGGATACTGGTGGCACAGAGAACCTGTTAGCAGCCGTTTAACGATTTTGCAGACTGTTTAAGGCAACAGAATGCTCAGAACTGGTAACTGAGCTACTGTTTCATATGTCTGCTTTTCGTATATCTCATATGCATTTAATCATGGATGTGTTTCAAGCTGCCCTCTAGTGGACCAGAGGAGCATGTGAGCTTGCTTGTTGTCAGGTGCAGTTTATGTAGAATTTTAAAGACACAGTTCGTCTTACCCTTAGAACTATATGGCTAAATCTGCTGCACTAGTGGATTTCATAACACTAGCTCCTTAACATGGCACCCTAACTGTTTCCTTTCATCACGTCTCCTAGGCTCAAAATACCAGTGCAGCAATTGACAGAAAATGACAAATTTTCAGCCACATGGGGCACATTTTGTTTGTGACAAGCTTGGTGTAACCAAAGCCAAGCCCCGTCCATTGCTTTCAGTCTAAGAGTCAAGCAGCAGTGGCAGCTCCCAACAGTTTGTAGGCTGCTCACCAATGAACAGTAACCTGGGGTGATCAGCGGGTGTCTGGGCTGACCCATGTAGGTGTGTAACTGAAGACTGGCCTCAGTCTGATACCTGGTGATAACCAGGCAGGTCTACCAACTGCCCAGGAGGGTCATGTAGCACCTGCAGTCTCTTCTTCCATGCACGTAACAGGTTCTCACTGAAATCTAAGAGGTTTAAATGGGATAGCAGCTGTTACTGGAGAAAGAGGGCAGGTGGGACTTAAGGAATGAAAACAGCTAACATTAAATCACCATCGTACAGCAAGAATGGTGCACATGCGAAGGAGGTACTTGGACATATTTTGTTGAAATCACCCCTCCAACTTAAATATGCACTGAATGTGAGTGAAGCTTTTAATGGGGCAAAGACCATCCCAACTCTGACCCGTACCAGAGGGCAAAAACACCTGGAATACTTAGGAAGATGCTGGACAATTAAGATTCAAGCTGCTACTAGGCTCTTTGGAGAACAGAAGATGACTCTACAATATCTCAGAAGCTAGCTACTAAATGATGCACAATGTATTGATTCAGCAGTTCATCATAAATTGATCCACCATTGCTGCCTGCCCACGTGGCATCACACAGACGATCTTTGCACAGAATTATTTGCTCATTTAGCTCTTCAACGTGGATGTTGCATGGCAGGATTTTGCCGTCCGTGTTATCCCTCATACGGCTAATTCAGATGAGTGCTTTATTACAAGCACATTTTAAATCAGTGTGCTACTTCTAATGAACAGTTATGTATAGCCATTGCGATTTTGGCTCTCTTTGCACTTTGTACACAGGGAAACCATACTGAGCACCTAAAGTATGTATGTTGCTTAGAGTTCACATGATGCAACTGGAGACTAAACTGGTTCAGATTTTGTGTTATTGCCCACTGATTAAAAATGCAATTAATTTTACAGGATACAGTCATTATATTTAAATCAACTTGTTTTTAATATTTCCTTGCCAGGTTATAGCTGGTTAGAGTTTTATGCTGAAACTACCCAATTTTACAGGCTTGCTTATATGCAGTATATCTCATCAGGTAGAATGGTTATAAGAGCATACAGAAAATAGACTCAGTTCAGGCTTCTGCCTGATGCTTATGAATTCTGGCTTATCACTCAGTATGCAAAAGTCAGGCTTAACTCAATCTGCTTTCAAAAGCAGTAAAAGCTGGAGGAGAAACTGGGAGCTCCATCTCACATCGCACTTGTGGATTTCTGTTTGAGCAACAAATTTCCCCTTTTTCTCCTCACCCTGACCTCTTCCCCAAATCTATCTGGAAGCATCATCTAATTTTCCAGAGCAGATTTGGGGGGCATGCAGTGAGCTTCAGAAGAGAGAGTGAATCTGTTTAAACCAACAGTTGTTCTGTTTGTAGGCAGACACCACTGGATGTCCCCCTAGGAGCCACTTTTTCTAAAGATGTATCCATAAGCAATTCTTAGCAAGAACATTCTAGTATTACAATAACTGATGCCAATGTACAGTTCTGCATTTTCAAGAATTCCTATGCTTTCAGCAATGGGCTCTGGTGTTTATCAAAGCACAATCCATTAGAATGATTCAACATGGCAACTGTAAACAACATTGACAGTTATGTGCATTGATGAAAAAGAGGAAAGAAAACACAATTATTCCAGCTGTGAAAGCAAATACAGGCAGCATTCTCAGTTTTACAGTCAAATCCATTCTAAAACATGTTAAGAACGGAACAGAATTGGAAAATTGGAAGGCAGTTAGGTACTCCCTACAACATGGCAAAATCTTTCCAAGATCCCAGATCTTATTGGCTTGTATGGTGAAGACACATATAATTGGCATACAATTACAAAAGAATGCATAGCAGATAAACAGAACTAGAAATAAATCTGATATCACAGGCCACTGTATTCCTGGAACTTTTTCAATTATTTCTGCAGGTGCTCAATTCATTTGTCTATGACAATCTATAGCAGATTATGAATCTAAGGCTGGTAAGAAAAAATTGCAGGGATTAATGCCTCCTTGTACTCATGGCTTATTCCACTCCTTAGAGCTTTACTGGATTTACCTTTATGATGCTCCATATAATGGAGGGGGACATAGTGCAGTGTTCTGTACAGTCATTGTACAGTGGTGCCAGAAGATAGCTTAGGTATTCCTCACACACCAGGAAAGGAATTAACACAAATATTTGTCTACATGCCAATGACTTTAAAGCAAAGATGAGGAACTGCAGGATTGTGGATCCACTCTGGCCTTCCTGGGCATTCAGTCTAGCCCTATGGGGTTCCTCAGACAGCCATTTTTCACTTCTCTGGCCCCACATATTAACCCCAACTTTTGATCGTTTAGATCCCTCTCTTTTGTGCATCTAAAGCACTGAAATGCCTTGGTAGCAAAAGATTTAAGCTACAAGAGGCTGGTATGTTTTGACCCTGCCCCCTTCTGCCATTAGCTCCACCACCCATGTTAGAATGCAGCTCTCAAGAGCTTCTCCAGCACTGAATTTGTCTCCCAGGCTGAAAGAGGTTCAACACCCTTGCTTTAAAGTGTTTTTACATTCCTCTGAACCCACCCACGTTTCACCCACAAAAGGGCAGAATCCTGCAAAGCTGAGCAAATATTATGCAGGAACCTACCTCCTTCTGGTGTTGTGAACTCCAGAGTTTCGCTCCGAGGCCCATCTCCTCTCCCATTGACTACAACCATCTCCAATTTGTAGTTGCTGTAAGGAAACAGCCGGGACACTATGCCCCGTGTCCGGTCTCCAGTAAAACCCACAGACTGCTTTTTCTTGGAGACCCAAAGATTCTTCATCAAACTACTTTCTCTCCAGTAATAAGCCTTCAAGAAACATGTAAGGCAAGTAAAACTTTTCCTATTTGGGTATTACTGGGGTTCAAGAACAAAATCACTATGCGTATTCTTCTTTCACACAATGATTAGTTCAAGTACACCAGTCATTCCACACAGGGAAGGAGGAAATCAGTGTTGTTATTGCCAATTTTATGGCTGGGGAGACTGTAGCACATGGAGATTAATTGGATTTGCCAAAAATCAAACAGGCAAGTGAGATACAAGGCCAACAGAGTCCGCCCCCTAAATGAAAAGGCCAAGCTTTCACTCTTCACACTGCACCTCTCCTCCCATCTTTCACTGATTGCTCAGTCATTTAGCAATGAAAATTCTTTTTCTGTTCAGGTTCACTCATGACCAGTAAGAAACCATAATTCTACTGGATTCCTCCACAGAGGCAGAAAAAAAGAGAAGCAAATCGCACAAGAAGGAAAAGTTACAGGACTGAGAAATGTGAAAATGGTTAGAGTGTATCTTTGCTCATGTCTTAAGAAGTTTTGGGAATCCATGCTTTCTTTTTGTTTAGGTAGGTTTTCATTTGTTTTCTCTTTGATAGGGCAGATAATAGGAAAAGAAAAAGAATGACCTTGAAAATACAATACAGTGTGTGTTTGTGTGTGCACGCGCACGTGGAGGGGGGGACTCCTTCTAGTTCTCATAGTTAGCACAAAATTTAAATTCTGATTAGGTCGACACAAATCATTTCTTGGTTGGGGTGCTTCCAGATGGAGGGCTCCAGGCATGATCAATTAAAATTATGATGCAGCTATTCTGTCCCCCACTCCACCCCCTTATTAAGAGATTTATGTGGAAGGAAAAAAGAGGCAATGGGAATAAATAGAGAAGTTACAAATCAAGGGCACCTTCATCTGGTCCCCCTCCTAAAATTCTGTGAGCAAATCAGGGCAGTTTTAAAGTAAAGCCTAGTCTGGATGCACCCACGATGAATAAAGTATGTCAAATGCACACTGGGGATGACACAGAAGTCAGCGGAAACCATTTCAGAAGCTGATTTTCTAATTCACAGTGATAGTCCAATTTGTGATCTTCGTAGTGATGAAAGAACCCCATTTTGTTTTGTTAGCAGAAGGGCATTACAAGATAGCAGCTCCTCAAAACTGTGCCTTTGCAACTGACAAGCAATGGCCAGACACTCATAAGTAGGAAAGTCTATACCACAAAGCATGGGATTTTGGATACAATTGGTTAAGATGGTATCCAAGCAATCACCTCCGGCTCCTTGAATCAGTGAGCAAGTCTTATCTTGCTTACTGAAAGCACAAGAATGTGAAAAAAACCTCCAGCACAATAATCCTTTACAAGACAAAAAGGGGCAGAGATGTACCACTTCACTTAGATGTACTCTAAGTTGAGGGAAACCCCAACTTAGAGTAAGCATTGAGAGGATATTGGATCTGAACAACGGGAGAAGAAAACTCAGGTTTGTTTCCCTATTTAAAGAGAGCAAAGGTAACTGCCATGCCTTGTTTCCTCAAAAAATACCTAAAAACAATTTCTACTGCTCTGCTTCCCTGGGATTCTGGAAGGATGCCAGCATTGGCTCACTAATTTCAATGCAATGGCAACAGTTTCAGTGCAAGGGCTGATGATCATTTACTAAACTCTCAGTGGGAGCAATATAAACAGAGATTAAATACAGAGAGAAATGTGAAAAAACCCTAGTTTCCCCTTCTAGACATTATGGTACTTTACCTAAAGTAATACAGTAAAAGAATAGTATGTCTTAGTAAGACACGTTAGTTTTTCCAAACTGGGAAAAAAGACGACACAAATCTGAACTTAGTACTTTTTTCCCAGCTGAACATCCATATTTGCCTACATAACAACAGCTTTCACTGCCATGTAGCAATTGCTGGGTACTTCTGTCGTCATCCCTGTTGTATAATAGACAAAGTGACCAGTTATTAGTGTCCAGGGTTAGCCATATTAATAGTTAAACTGTTTTGTTTCTGGTTGTGCTCACTCGGTACTCCTTAAGCTGTCCCTGGATGGTTTCTGGGTACACTCTATTCCACTGCAGGCTGACTGCTGTGCTGTTTACAACTTTGAGTCTAAGATCAGTGGGAGCAGCCTTAGGATCTATGTGGTCAGGAATAAAGCAAAACAGAGATTAAGCACAAAGCGAAATGTGAAAAAACCGCCCGATTTGCTTTACTTAAAGCAAGTAACGCAAGCTGAAGACTCCCCTGAAACTGGCAGCATCATCCACAAAAATACACCTGCTGCCATCTTGTGGAGCATAGGAGGTGCTCACCATGTCATTGCTTGATAGCAGGATTTCCCCATCCTATGATCACCCCCTTGCGTTTACTTTTTCTATCTGCCCCATTGGCAAACTCACAGTGTTACAATGTCTTTAACAGAGTTGCAGTCAATCTAACAGAAAGCAGCCATATTTACAGACTAAATGGAAAGCGAGAATGCTCTTAACTCAGCGATGTTACATCAGCAGCAAATTAAGCTCATGCGAGAGCCATAGAGTCATTTCCATGAGACCCTTTAAGCACTTTGCAATTCAGAGGCCTGACCAGCAGAAGTAGAGAGGCACTGATAGAGGCAAGCCTACTTAAACATGGCCACAATGCATACGAGCAGCAGGACTTAACTACTGGCTCTTAGAAAAATGTCATCAAAGCAATTTCTTAACACAGAGCTGATATTTAAATGGCAAACATTTCCACGGGATCCCATGAGGTACATTTCCCCCGCAGCTGGGAGCAAGAGCTGTAGCATTTTCTCCACTTTTCACAGAAGCGAGAAAATGTTTGTGACTGACAGGATGGGCAGGATCACAATAGAAACAAGTATTTTAAAGATTGGGGTGGCATCCAGCATGGCTTCTGTGCTGCCTTTCATTTTGCTGTACCAACAGGATTCACCATTTGTGCAACGGGGGGTTAGCACTGCCTAAGCCAGTCTGGAAAGAAGTGGAAATGCTAGTCTCCAGACTGGGACTGGTCACACTGGAGGTCCTCCCATGCGTAGCATTCACCACTCCAATTCAGCAACAAGTGTATCTGTTCATTTCCAGTTCCTCCTCATTGTACTGGTGATGGTCCCACTGGTATGTGGGCATCACTGAACACTGAACCAAGAAGAAAACCGTAACCTTATGGATTGGATCCAGATGCATTTTTTTCCATTTTCCAGGTGAAATAGGTTAAAGATGGAGAGCAGTGTCAAACAGATTAGGTTATACAACAGAGTCATAATTGGTGTATACATTTTTTGTTTCACCGGTCACCTCAGCTCAAACAGAATTTGCAGAAGTTTGAAATCCTAACTGCCCTGTCCAAATCTGCAGAAACTGTTTGTCAGAGCAGTGGCATGTGTACATGCCATGAACAAAGCCAGTTTCAAGAGAAGTCCAGTGATCTGGAACAGGCACTCACCCCAACCTGTGGTATGTCTATGTAAACAGCAAGAGTGCATGTTCAGAGTTTTTTCTGTTCCAACATGTATAGGATTGCACCCAAAGGGCTTCAGAAGTATTTTCCAGGGCAAAGCTTTGCTAAGAAACTGAAGCAGGTTTGTCTGCTTCATCACCTAAAACAGTCCACGGCACTCTTCTACTGCTATTGCCTTTGCCAAAGCAGCTGGATGAGATTGGGCCACCTGTCGTTGTCTATCGAGAAAGATAAGGAAGATAATCACATGTTGCCGTGCCTGCCTTGCCCTCATTATTGGCATAGTGGAGTAAAGTTCTTCTCAATGTCATTTCATTTAAGGGTTTTTGTTTGCTTGCTTAGTGCATTCAGAGCAGCTCATGATTGGACAAGCTACCTGTGCCATTTATTCCTGAGCTGTACTCCCTGTTATTCTTTCAAGGGTGCCTTCCTCTTTAAATAGCCGGAAAGGCTCTAGCAGACTCAGGGGCTTCTGGCAAGCAGACTGGCTGCACAAGGGACCAGATGGGAGGTGACAGAGCAGCCTGCATGGCTGGGTGGCCAAAGAAAGATGAATCGATACATTTGCATGATCCCTGGAGATGGGCCATGATGCTTGGGCCCAGTAGGGGTGGCAGCAGCTGCTGCTGCACTGAACCCCACGCCGGTGCCTGCCTTTGTTCTACAATTCCCTTCATCCTATGGTGGGTGGAAAATGAGGAGAGAAAACTTCAAAGAACAGAGATAACACTAAAGGGAAGGGGGAAGGGGGAAGGGGAAAGGGGAAGTAAAGCATGCAATGGGCTGGACACAGCTCCACGTAGGAAGGATCTGGGTATTTGGGGGTATTTCCATTTGTAGTACAGTTACTCAATTGTTGCATTTTTAGTCTTCCCTACAGCTAATACTGTCTGGATAGATTACAAACAGGAAATATCCATTTTGTAAAAAATGCATATGCACAACTGACCTGGACAACAGGTATAAGGTGCTGTACAAACTAAAAAAATGGGACACATTGCAGCTGTTAAGAAAACGTAACAAAAGAACTAATAATGCAATTGACAATGACTTTTACATGTGCTAGCAAGCTTGGATTTCTTTAGCCAACCAGCAGGATGTGGAGTTGAAACCTCAATCACATGCAACCATCTGGCAAGATATTATTAATGTTCCCCCACAAAATCAGGATCAATAGACCCTCCAGAGGAAATGCAGGCTTACAGTTTTATACCTCTGTATTGCCATATCTCAGCCACTGTCAACAGGTTATTTCAGGCTCGGTGTCACTTACGTTTCCATCTTGTGTTTTTGTTGATAAAATGCTCTCTATCTCTTGATCTATAATATAGAGAATGGCTTGCCTAAAGACTATACTCCCTTCACTTTTTCCTTATTGTTGGGACAGTACATTTGTAACTAAAAATAATTTCATTAATAAGTGGTTTCCATTAATTTGCTTTCTGATGCTACAAGCACCAACTCACTGGAACAATACAGGTGTGGATTTTAAATCATTGCAATAGAACCTTAGATTGGATTCCCAGGGACTGTCCCATATATACAATGTTTATAGAGAGAGACCTCCCTCAGCTTGGATGCTGAAGCCTATCAGACAGGAACTCCAACCACTGCTATACTGCCTAGGAATTGGTATCTCCAAATATATTGCACCGCAGCTGGGAAGACAGCATTAGGCTCCATGAACTCTCTGCATGGTAGGCTACTACGGTGACAAGGAATCACCTATTTCCAAGTTGAGTGCAGAAGCAACACTCTGTGGATAAGTTTATTTGCTAAGAAAACTGTAATCCCATGACATGTTTTAGTTATTATTCCCTTCTACCAATATAATAGCTATAAGGTACTAGGGTTCATTATTACAGAATCTTTTGGTTTCAGTCTGTATTGACAGAAAACAGCAAAATAACAGACTCATTCCAAGCCTCCTAGGAGGTGTTCAAAACATGAAGCAAATATGAATAAAGCCTCGGGAAGATGAATGCTCCTTTAAAGACAGAGGGCACTACTCAACCTAAGTGAAGTGCTCTTATGTTCCACAGGTTTCAATGGGGAATGTTTAAGCATGTGTTTCAGTCTCCTCTTGAAATCGGTAGAACCCAAACATAATTCAGATTGGCTGGATGATACTCTGCATTTTAGAAGACAAATGGCTATGAGCAGAGGAAAGCAGTCCCCCCCCCATCTCTCTCTCTCTCTCTCTCTCTCTCTCTCTCTCTCTCTCTCTCTCTCTCTCACACACACACACACACACACACACACACACACACACACACACACACAAATAGCATTCTTACTTGCATTCCAGAAGGACTGTGAATGCTTTTGAGTGTTGGGTTATGGACCTATGCAGTCTTGGTCTTTCTGGGCCATTCAAACATAGAAATACTCAGCTCTGGCTCACTGAAGAATGCCAACACTGTACCCCAGAATAGGGGTAGGGGATTAACTTAGTTGAGCTGGAGTTGGCAACTAGTGCTAAGCCTAGGTAGTAATGAACAACTTATCCAAACATTGTGGGTTCCCCAAAGACCATGGATTAAAGATACACATCCCACTGACAGGCTCGAGTTGGTATCCATTTTTCTTCTCACAACATCTCTGCAAAGTTGTTTAGCTAGAGAGAATAAGTAATTTGACCAAAGGTGGGTCCCATGGCCGAATGGGGATTTGAAACCAAGTATCCATGGTCCAGTTCTCAGATATTACTTCATACTGGTTCTTTCATTTGCCTACCTCCTTTTATATTAGCTAGTACAGTAACCCTATTACCTGCCCTAGATCTGCCCCATGAACTATTGATATTCTGATGTTATTGTTGTTACATACTGTTGACATGTTTCAGTTGTTTTTCATGTGTGTTGTTAGCCACCTTGAGCATTTTTAAATGGAAAGTTAAGATACAAATGCTTTTCAACATAAAGAGGTGTTAAATGGCAATAAACACCTGAAAGGAGTTAAGTGAATATGAATATGGATACTAGATGCTTCTGGAGATTTACGTTACTTTTCCCTTCTCATCTGCACTCTAGAATGAGATAGCAGAGTGCTTGGCACTGGAGTTCAGTGACCTTTCATAGAAATGATCTTCACATGTCTTGATTTGCAAGACTGCCCTTTAGCAATGATAAATGAGAATTGGGGAAGGGAATCTGCCTTCTGTGGCCCAAGCTGTCTTTGCTGAAAGAATACTCACAATCTTCCCCTGAGTAGCCAATGATGGTTTCAGGCTCTGCAGCCATTCCATAGTCATTTACAGCTTGCACTTTGATCTCGTAGGGTGTATAGATAGGTGTCTGCGTGACGGTGTACTGGCTGACATCGCCCTTGACTGTTCTGTTGCTCCAGTTCTCTCGTGTGTCCTTTCTCCTCCATTTGACAATGTATCTGAGGTTAGGGCCATACACCTGGGTTGCATTCAATGGCTTAAAGAGAAAGAAGAAAGCAGTGATGCTTGCTGAGTTTGAATCCCATCATCCTCATCTCCCATGCTTTCTCTGTGACTTTAGCAGATTTGGGAACATCGATCAATCCATAAACAATTGGAGCTGATAGGCATATCACAGCATGGAATTTCATATAGAGGAGCCGACTGTATCAGGTGCTACCAGTGTGTTACCCTCGGTGGGCAAAGTCTCCTTCTGAATATATGTATAGAGGTGCACATGTGAGAGCGTTTCTGTAAATAGTAAGCTAGGATATAGATGCAAGCACACTTCACACACACCCCCCTCCATAGTGAGGAAGCACTTGTAAATAGTGGCATCATAAACAATAGTCCACAGTCATTCTGTTTGTTACGTTATCTGTGCAGACCCAAATATATGCAGGGTAAGAACAAAATGTGTCAGGCCCTGCATCTTTTGGCCCTGCTATCTGTGAATTTACCCCAGCACCAAACTCATAAATGGGTGGTATATATGTGTGAGTGTGCATGCACACTTGTCAATTGAGGATAACACATAGTGAACCTGACACAGTGGGTTTTAATATCCAAAAGTTGATGTCAAAATATGCTTGCAAGTCTGTAAGGTGCCTCAGGACTCTGTGAGGAGTAAATGCACCAGCATCCAGGTTACTTTACATGGTCTGACTACATGATCCGCACTCCTATACCATCACCCAGATTCTATCTGCTACTCTTCAGCAACACACTTCATTTATCAAGGTATTTCCATCATGCTCTGTGGTCCCTTCTAAGTGGCTCAGAAAAGAAGCCGTATGATATAAAAACCAAGTAATCCTTAAATAAAACAACATGAAATGGAAACACTTCACATCCACATACCCCAGCAGCCTATAGGATAAAACCAAGTTTTAAAATCCATTGCTCAGGTTGGAAGCTTGCCTGATCAGCAATATGGCATCTAAAAAGAATGAGGGAATCAAGTGTGTTTTTCAGGGCAATGAGATCAAGATCTTCAGTGCCACAGCCAGAAAACCACTCTCTCACCTGCACTCATCCAACATATTTCATCTGTTAGTAGGACAGAGAAGGGCTTGATGGGGATGTTTATATGGGGGGAGCATCCTCCACATTTTCTAGTAGCAAGCCACCCAACTTAGGGCTTCCAAGTAAGAACCACCACTTTGAATTGGGCCCCAAAAACAAACTACTAGCCAACTATATTGACAGAAAATTAGCCTTCTATCATTTTGAAGGCCTCCTTTCAGATGTCTAACTGCTGTGTTCAGTACTCTGAGTGCATGCTTCTGAACATAGTTCAGATGCTGCAAATGGGTAGCAGTTCAATCTATAGCAGCAAGTGGTGTGGTCCCACACTTAGGTCCTGATGGGAAATCTGGGCAGGAACCATGCCCAGCAAGATCTGTAGAACAGCCCTCCTTGCCAGGGAGTTGCAAGAGAGGGATGGGGAGCCTTCAGCACCAGAACTGCTTTAGTCAAGGTAGTCACCTGCCCCCGTCTTCTGGGTCCAAAGACATCTCAGAAGCCTCAGTGGAGAGAAAGGTGGCTGTGCCTCTAAGGCCTACAGCCAAGGGCAGCAGGAAGGCCCCACAGCCTTGACAGAGTAATTTCCTGAGGAACAGGTGCTGCCTTCTTCAGGGGTGAGTGGAGCTGGAGAAAAAGCCCTAGGTGCAAGGTTATGAAAGCTCATGGCTGGCTCCAGACATTGCTTGGAAAACTTGCCTAGCTTGTTATGTTATAGTCAGCCCCTGATATTTACACCTCAGCAGAAGGGTCAAACCATTTTTCAGCCAAATTCTATTTCCGAGAAGCTCCTGGGGGCTGTATTCCAGTGGCAGGTGGGGCCAAAGGCAAAAAGGGGCTGGGGTAGATCTTAGCTTAAAAGCTTTTACTACCAATGGTTAAGCCTTAAGAGAGGCTTCTCTGCCTTTTAGACTGAGGGGAAAACTGAACAAAGTGGGTGGTTTGCTCCACAGGTAGAGATCCATTTTGGAAGTAGGAATCCATTGGATTCACTGGGCTTGGCTGCCCAGACTCCACTTCACTTTGTCAAGGCCATCAATCCAAGTTGTGGCAAGTGTGCCCAGTGCTTGTGCAGTGTACACCAGAAATGAAGCCCCGCGCAACTGCTGCACAAGCGGCACCTTCTTCTGCAACACACCCAGCAGCCTTTGCTTGTGCTGAAGAAGGTTGTTGGTTGTGCAACCTGTGGATGTTTGTGGACTTGTTCTTGGCTTTTTTTCTAAGACAGGGCTGAGCACAAGAGGAAGTTTGCAAATGCTAGAGGGATGGATTCTATGGAGTTTCATTGCAACTCTTTCCACTGGGGGGCAAAGTGTCCTAATCTCTTGCTACTGTTCTACCTTGATCCTTTTATCCATCCTCAAGAGAACCTTTGTGTCATCCAGCTTGCAATGGGATGCCAAGGTACATGCAGCAATGGGTTAGCAGCTTTAGACTGGTGAGGATATAATCCTATACTTGTTTAAACAGGAAAAAAGCATATGACTCACCTGCAATACTGACTACAGTATGCTGAGAATTGTGAATCTTTTTTCGGTCTAAATATGCATAGGAATTGTCTTTAGAGTGGCAAACAGAGAGAGACCACAGCACGCAGACAAAAGTAGGGTCAATTCTTCATCCACATAAATTGCTTTCCAAAAAAAAAATCTCTCAGTCTCTCACCTTTCAGTCTTACTCTGTCAACCTAAAGTATTTTTGTTGAAACTGGCTATTTTTCTTTGGCATGACACTTTGATGCAGATGTTCTAAGGTTCACTCAGGAGGAACACAGTAAGAAATCTGACTTCTCCTTTGTCTTATCAGAGCTTTTTCTTAACACATTGTGATAAAACTTATTGCGGTAAAAGCTTTGAAATCGAGACCACTCATGCCAGAAAAGTGCATGGTTAAAGAACTAACCCCTTGCATGTTCACTCACCATCCATGATATAACCATATTATTTTTTGCTGTTCCTGATCCTTTAACGCCCGTGGGATTAATTTCTGGACCTGAAATAAATGAAAACACAATATTTGTTTCAAAACATTGTGTACAGCAATAAAGCTCCTCTATGCCATGTGTTATTGCTAAAGAGATACCTCCTTTTCTATGAATATGAAATAAGGGACAGAATGGGGATGCCTTTAGGATTTTGAATTAGGAGTTGTCAGAAGCTGTTAAAGTCCCTACTGCCTAAAACATAAGAAAGAAGTGAGTTAAACAACTTATACTGTATCACCAGAGCAATTTGCAAAGCAAACCTTTTAAATTCCTATGACAGTTTCCAGATGCTTTGCAGTTTGAAAAAAGCATAGCACAAGATGGCATATCAGTTAGGCAAACTAAAAATGTCTTTTCCACAGAATTTACAATCTTTGGGTAGTTGGGAAATAACGTCAAGAAAATTGATTCAGTTCATTAAAAAGTACTGAATTTCCCATAAGCTTTTGGATTCATTTATTTCACAGCTGCAGTTACCCAGGACCTGAGATTGTCCACTGCAGCCTGGTGAATGGATATTGTGCCAAGCAGGAATTGGCTAACATAGAAAGTAGGAAACAATCCTCACTTATCACTTGCATTGCAAGCTTCTTTTTTATATCTATCCTGGTTCACAGGTGTGCTGTCACTGTATATTTTTATCCATTGTTATTTTACCCAGGTGTAATTGGATACCTGCAACATCTACCATTGCCTGACAAATTCAGGACACAATGCAGTGCAGGTCTGCTGGGAATTGCAGAAAGGTCTAGGTCTTTTTTCCTCTAAGTTTGCATAAGATTGCACCCCCAGTATCCATTCTCCATCATCATGCTGAGTCTGAATTGTAGGGTTCCTGGCTGCAACACGGGATCTTATCTTTATTTTGTTTGTCTCCCCACTCCACCCCAAACACACACACACACACACACACACACACACACACACACACACACACACAAACCTAGCCTGATGAATTATTCAGGGGAACTGAAAACTCGCATACTCTTTTGTGATGTTTTTATTGGGTCTTAATACAGGCATCATTGACTAGCTGGGTTTCTTTATTCTTTTTCTCAGCAAAGCATTCCTTCTGTTCCAAATGTAACCATCCACCTCAAGTCAGATAGCACTTACGTGCACCATTCGTATGGTATCGTTCAGAAGGCAAGCTGGGATAACTGCTTCCTACTTCATTTACTGCTATTACTCGGAACTGGTAGTTGACGTAGGGCGCGAGGCGCAAGACGGCAGAATTCACACTTCCTGAGTAGCGGGAATGGTTGTGCCACACTCCAGGCTCAAATTTATCCTCCTCAAATTCCACAATGTAATCTAGAAGAGAAAAGATCATGTACCCAATTCACAACATAATTATGGACTAATGATATTTTAAAGAACAAAACGTTAATGTTTCAGTGTCTCAGATTTCTAAGCATAGTGGCATGCACTGACCTGTGATGGGGCTGTTGTTGTCATCACCAGGAATCCATGTCAGCCGCACACTCCTTTCAGAAAGATCTGTTAGTTCAAGGTCTCTGGGACGTTCAGGACGCGCTACCGGCAGAAGCATACATAGTTAGGGGCTGGGCTTCGGTAATGGTTGATGAAGACCCAACGCTTTTTTAGCTCTTCTCAGAAGCTAGCAGTACGGACATTTGATCTGAAAATGAGACCTGGTCTTCTTGGGAGTGATCTGATGGGGCTGGGGTGATGGAACCAGTGTCACCCTTCAGAGTGTAGCTGGCAGCATCACATTTCTCAATGCTCCCCCACATTAAAAGGAGGAAAACAATCACAGCAGAGAGTATGCTAACTGGAGCCATTCTCCATGATTTGGTAGTTTTGGGGTGCTTTATTTTTACTTGGAGGGAGTCTTTTGCAAGGGGAGGGTTCCATCAGGACAGCCACACTTGCAGTCCCGAGGCAGTGAGTCCACTCTGTGCCTCGGGACTGCACAAGCTCATTCTTCCGCCCAGAGGGGTCATGCTTGGGACTCTCGGCCATCAGGGACTGGAGGTTTGGAAGCAGTCTCCCTAGAACAGTTTTGAGAACAGGCAACTTTACAGAGTTCTATATATATAGCTATTGAGGACATTTAGAGTTGCTCTTCTGCTTTGCAGAAGTGATAATTATTTCTTTTTTAAAGGGAGAACAGCTGCGAGCAGGGAGCTTACGGCAGAGATATCACTATAATAAAGACATGACATGAGAAGATTATAGTAAAATAGAAAAGATGGAGATATCAGAGGGACTTTTTCAGAGAGCTGTAGAGATAAGGGAATCCTAATCTCGAGTGAGGGACAAACTATCCTGCATGCATTGGTCTTGAGTGCCCGCTTTGTTTTGTTTTGCAAATTGCCAGTGCAAGAGTCCTGGTCCAAACGGGAATCTGTACAGGGTTGAGGAAAGCTTTAGCCCTTGCCCCCGGCTGTGCTCTTGATCTGCATTAAAACCCCCGTGTCTCCAATTTACATTACCAATAAAGGTTTCTCTCATATCAATGGATCCACTTTTGGCAGCACAAACTGTAGGTTCAGGGCCCCTGCCCAGACCCAGACCAAAACTGCAGTAGGGGGCAAAGGGTTGAATGCCCCTCCTCTTAATGCAAGGGTTCTAATTCAGATCAGGGTCCCACACAAGTTGTAACACCCCCACTTCCACCATCATCCTCCCACTCAAGACCAGAATTCTTCAGGACATGTAATGTGTAGTTTGGTTCTCAGGCTCTTCTTACATAACTGAAAATAAGGTCTGGTCCACCTACTACAATCTATTATTTAGACTATCAGCCTAAACCTTTCCTGAACAGTTGCTTTCACAAAGAAACTTTCTATGAACTAGATAGCCCTGCAAATGGTCAGCAGCAATTTCAGTAATTCATGCAACTGCAGCTCACCATAACAAGTTGCTAAGGTCACACACAAATCTATACCTGCAGATGGCAGGATTGACAGGGAAACTTATTGTGCAAACAGACTTGAAGACTTGGCCTAATGCTTCAGTTAGACAGCAGTTTATGAAATCCAGTTCATGACTGGCATCGATGGTTAGGGCAGGGGACATTGTACAACCTCTGGAGAACCGAGGAAACATACTTTTCAGCGGACAGAATGATATTAGCCATCTCAACTTTACAGTCAAGTGGCAGTTCCAATGATGTCATTGCTCCATACAAATTATGCCGCACTAGCATAAGGTACCTGAAGTACAACATCAAAAGCACTAGTTGTGCAGTGAGCTCTCAAGACTCCCACTGGCAAATGGATGCTACTGCTGCTGTGCTAGAGGTCCATTCAGTTAGTGTGCTAGGGGAATGACATGGTTGGATACTGCCCAAAGAACCTGAATCAGAGAAGACCCAAGAAGGTGAGCCCGTGGAAACAAAAAGGACAACAAGAAACACCCTCCATCACTTTGGATATCAGACTCAAGGATTAAGCCGTGTAGTTTAATATAAGTTTCCTTCCTTTCTACAGAGGACTGAAGGACTCTCATACTAGTAGGAATAGAATTCAAGACCACCATATTGACATGAGTTCGATTGCTAATGCTCAGGGCTCCCTCTCATGAGACCTGGGCTAGTTAACGTTATCATAGTTTCAGCAGCATTTTTCTTTTATATTATGGCAATTACAATGGTCAAGGAACAGCAGGCAGAAAAAGAAAAGATAAAAGAGGTAAATGGATTAGTTCTGATTACCTTTGGGTAGGGTCATACGGTTAACAGAAGAAGGAGCTGCAAAGTAAGATATTAGCTATTAAGAGAGTTAACTCAATCCTTATTGGGAGGACACAGCAAGCACCAGAGTTAATCAATCTTCAAAGCCTCTCTCAACGAATAGAGTGAGAAGTAGATAGATCTCCAGATGTATTAGACTTCAACTCTCAAAAGCTCCAGCAAACATGACCAAAGATCAGGAATTCTGGGAGCTAAAGTCCAAAACATCTGGAAGTCTACCTGAATGCCATTTCTGATAAAAAGGTCAGATGCAAATCTAATACACCCCCCCCCCCCTTCTGGCCACTTCTAGACAGTAACCCACAGGTATTACTGCCGTATACCTAAACACATTCCAGCTCTCCTGAACATTTTCTTAGCTAGCTTACGGACAAGATTAAAACACAAAAGAGGTTTCTGAGTGTTCAGTTAGCTTTGGCAGAGTTAACATCTGGACAGACCCCAGCTTTACTTCATTGATTCCTGATTATGAATCAGTTGACTTCCTGGTCAATATGCTTTTATGCCCTCTAACCCAAGCCATAGTAACACCAGGGCAGCTCGCTGCCAAAACCCTTTGGGATGCTGAGAGCTTTGCTTTAAAGTCATCATGCCGTCACCCCAAAAGTAAGGTGACTACTCTAGGCAGCAACTGCAACTAGCAGGGCTACATGTCCTTCTCAATCTGATACTATGGTTCACTTTTCAAAGATCTTGATGTGCCTGCTCTCAAAGATGCCACTGAAATTAGTTTGATTGACCAGCAGTTAGATGCTGTTAAGAAGATTATGGCAACTTCAAAGGGCTGGATGGTTAGAATGGTGGGAAATGTCAGCAGCTGTGGGACAATTTTCATCCTCAACATGCAGAAGATCACATCTTTAACAGTGTACTGTCCGTTGTGCATGGCATTCTGTATGTTTCACCCCACAACACAAGAGAATAAAAAAACCAGGTTTCTCATTGGACTTTATCTCAAACTTGATCACCTTAAAGGGAAGATGGTTACCTAGAACAGTGAGATGGGCTCTAGCAATATCTTTGTCAAGTTCAGTACTGGCAACACAGGTGTAATACCCTTGATCTTTTTCAGCCACTCCATATATTGTCAGGCCATCTTCTTCTTTCTTCATCCTTTCAGAGGGGAAACATTAGAATTTGAAATATCATGGGATATTTAATCTCTGTCCCTCAAAGGCTGCTGAAACCAATGCCATGTCCAAATGTAATGACTGCTTCATGCCACTGTAAAAAGTTGTTGTTGTAAACAACAAGAACAACATAATCTCCATCATACCGAAGTGTTTTGTCAATATGCAATGAATGCATTCTGAAACCTCCTTGTACTACCCTAATGTCACAACTCTACGCTAGGGATGAATTGTTCAGTCCATATCAATTTGCAAGCCTTTATTCCTAGTCTGTTCTGTCCCAATTCCACATCCAACTTGCACGGTGTGTGTGTTTAAACACATGTGAATTCATGTGATTTTTGAAAAACATGTTTCACAATATTTAAAATATACACAAATTTTCTACATATCCTTTCCTATAAAGCAGATTTTTAAATTGCTTTTAACCCCAAATACACATTTTATATGTAATGATATGGGTTTTTTAGTATGTAATGAGATGAATTTTTTCAGAAACACACTAAAAAAATAAGAGAAGTACAAAAATGGACACCCAAGTGTGCTGATTTGAGTATGAATCCAGCAAAGCACTTAAAAATGCTGATTGCTTGGAATACTTGCAGGTGCCCAGGCTGCACCAGCCTTAGTAGCACTTTGCCAGCTTAAGACTTATCATACCTATCTAGTTCCTTGTAGTCTTTGCAATATATTTTAGAAATAATACATCTTGTTACACACACATGTTGTCCTGAATGTAGGTGTTTTAATACCTGCCCTTCTCTTTCACTCTGACTGCTGTTTCTGATACGCTAGAGTGAGCAATCTTAGAGAATGATCCTATGGCCCCTAGAAAACAATTAGCAGAGCCACAGGATACTTCAGATTCCCAGATTCGAGGTCAGAAGCAGTGCTGAGACCTCAAACCTGGGAATCTGAGCTCCAATTACCCCTCCCTTGCTATGTAGCCAGTGTGGAAAGAGCCTTCCTAGTACTTCCCTAAAGTCAGACAACTGACCTCGGAGAGGGTGTAAAGGGAGCAGGGAGAAGGAGCAACTGGGACCACCAAGATACAGTGTTGTCCCCACAGCCTTCCTGCCTCTTTCACTCTCACTGGAAAGTGCTGCAGAGAGAGGGCCAACTTCAGCCATCTGGCTGAATTGTATGGTGGAAGAAGTGTTTCCCCTGCTCTGCACTGAGTCTGGAGGCAACCACTGGGGATGTAATCAATAGGAACGCGTCCTTAGCTGAAGTGGATTTCTTATTGTCTAGGAATGCTATCTCAACACTCAGTCATTTCAAGTCAATTTATACTTCCAGACAAGATCATGAAAGTCATGGGACTGAGCATGGTGGAAGAGGATGCCACCGTCTAGATTAAGGAATACAGCTACCTTACACCAAAGTTGCCTGTTTCTCCATCTAGGCCTCAGGTGGGCATCCGTGGCCCAATTCCTGCTCCTGCTAAATTTGAGCCTGGCACAGAGATGTTGGGTGTGCTGTGGCGAGTGTAAATATGATGGGGAGTGACGGTGCGAGGGGATGACTCTCCAGGTGGTGCTGGCAGTCAGGCAGAAGAGCAGATGGGATGGGTGGCACCTGAGGGCGTGGTTAACTCTCCCCACACTGCCAAATCCTTTTCATGAATGCATGCAGTGTGCGTGCTTTACCACTGAGCTGTGGTCCCTTCCCACGTCTCCACACCTAATATTCCCTGTGAGCTGGGTAACAGGTACCAGCACAATGACCAAACTGGCAAAATGGTTTATGAATTCTCGGCATTCCCCAAATATGTCAAAGAGGACAATCTTGCAAAGTGCACGGCAAAGAGAGACAAAGGTGCCACAGACCTGCTTCCTAAGTACAGGGGTGTATCATCCTTGAGCCAGGTGACGGTAAGTTTCAGTGTGGGATCATGTCTTATCCGGCATATTAATTGAACTGTGGAACCCTTCTTTGGTACAGCATCTTTGGGTCCATCAATGATCCTGGTTGGATCTGGAAGGAGTTATAAAGTTAGAAGTTAGAAGGTTATCATTGCATTACTATACAATCTACACCAAGTACTCAGTCAAAAGCCTAGGAAAGAAAACCACTGCCACTCTGTGTGAGCAGAAATAACTAGCCACACGGCTGATTCCGGAAATCCCTTTAGATTTGTATCTGTCATTCTGTCTGATACCTCTAACCGTGTGTTGAAGAACGATAAACCTTGCAACCCTTATATTTACAATGCACAGGGTGGTATCTGAGAATGGTACTTTTATGCTAAGGGACAATTCAACCAGTGACTGTGTAAAGGCAGCAGTTCTAATGATGAACTCACCTGGTTTGGTTGGCAAGAATGCACCTGGTTTGGTTAATAGTTCTGTATCGGGTTACAGCAACAGACTTCCTCCAATAGAGGCACATGCACCGATCCTTCCCTGTTCTCAGCATCAGGTTTAGAATCCTGATAGGGCAGGAAGCCCTATGCAGTCACCTTCCTTTATCTCCCCATTTCTCCTGCTTTTGTTTTATCTTTGCATTTCCCTACTCCTTCCAATTCTTTCTCAATGACTTTCACTTTCTTCTATTCCCCCCCCCTCCCCATACACACTCCCAACAATTTGCACTTGACCTGCTTATTACATGGTAAACTAAGGCAGTTTCTTCTTCTTCCTGGAGTCTGGCTCATACTCTGGCCGACCATAGGATTTCCATCCCTGTGGCCAAGGCTATTATTCATCTGCATGTTTATTTATTGCACTTCAGCACTGCTTAAGAGCCGAAGTTCTCTGGATAGTCTGTCCAGCATCTTCTCATAATGCGATAGGTAGGTAGGATGGGACGGGAGGTGTGCCAGCTCACAGGCCATTTGAAAATGGTTCATTTTTACTAGTTTGGGGTGGGGTGGGATCTATGATCACACAAGTGACAGAGGTCCACAGCCAACTTACGTTAGAAATAGCCACATTTTCAGCTAGCCACATAACATGCATTGTTGCTCTTACTTCTGGTGACAAATTAAGCCAACATTGACTGCACAAGTCCAGGTACAGATTCCTTGCCATGGAAGGCAACATGCGTACTATTTGGACAGCACTTGTTCTTTGCTTTCACAGAAGCCATCTTACCTTTTATTTCCAAACGAACCTGATTCTGTGCTTTGCCCAGAAGATTGGTGGCCACACAGGTATATGTTCCTTGGTCTTCTTTGCGGGCCCTGATGATTTCCAAAGTTCCATTCTCATGCGTTTTGTAGTTGCCACCATGCAATGTGCTTCCCTGGCCATTCTTAAACCTCACAACAACACAAGAAAACACTGGTAAGAAAAGGAAATAAACCAACCAAGGTGGAGAGTGCTGGAAGAGATGCTGTAGTTTATTAGAACTCTTCAGTACATTAAATTCCAGATCTAAAACTGCTCCAATACCTCCCCAGCCCTGCACATACATATGGAAACAGCAATTATTCTGAATTAACAAAGTACAAATTAAATAATCATACATATATATTTATAAGAAATAACTCTCTAATTGAACAATCCTGTACATAGTTCTGAGTAAATAGACTCAGTTCCAAGTCCCACTCAGGTCAGCACATAAAGGACTGCAGCCAAAGTTACTTAAAATATGAAAAGCTGATCAGCATAAAACTCAGCCCCCTCCTTTTCCATAGTTTTTTTTTAAATAAAATATGTATTGATGCTTTGGACATGCAGTTGACATCTTCTGCCATTCAGTTTATATGCTCTACTGATAGTAATACTAGCATATATATTTCAAAACAAGAATAGCAGCGCAAGTAACACATTGAGTTGGACTAACTTAGGTCCCATTGATTTCAACAGGTCTACCCTAATATGATGAAGAGTGGGTCCAAGCCATTAATTTTTATAATAGTTATCCTCCCTTTCCATGACACAGTCACTTATTTCCTTCTCTCAAGGTCTTTATTTTATGTACTAATGGCAATTTAATTGACTTAAAAAAATGATCTGGCTCGTATCTGTACAACATCTGCACTGTTGTGGCTTAATTAGAAACGTTCTTACCATCGTAAGGTGGGGATCGGGGACCCAAAGAATGGACAGTCAAGGAGAGTCCGGTTGTTCTGAATCACTTTGATCAGCTGGTTACGAGGGGTGAGGATTCGAGGAATAACATCTTTAAAAGATAACAATATATGGTGAGAGCTTTAGCTCTGGTTTAAAGAAAGCTGCTAAATGATGTCATCTCATCTAGATTTTCATGTTCTCTGTAGTGTCATTTCTAGATTTTCTGTTTTGTTGTTGTTTAGCTTTCACTTGCATTTCTTCTAACAGAGAGCCATTTTAGGCATGGAACCCTTTATTTGATACAGGGGCCACCTGAGAAACACCTATGTAAGTTTTCTTGTTTTAAAAATTATACCTCAGTAGTATTAAATTTCCATGGCTTGTGTTTTATTGATTACTAATTGCATTTCTGATTCTTCTTATTTGATATGTTTTGCATATCTTTATAATGCATATTGCTAATTTTCTGCATAATAGTATACCAAAGTATATGCTTTGAGTTAAGGCTTCGTCACCAATACTTTCTTCTTTTTCCCCACCATACCAAGCTTTCATTTATTCTACTTAGATTTCATCTCAGTTTTATCTTCCATCAGATAAAAGGCATGTTTTTATTTAAATAAAAAATGTCAACCTAAAAAAAAATTTCAACCTATATGCTACTAACCTTGTGTCAGGATGTGGGTTGCTCCAGAGTTCCATCTGGTGGCTAGAACCAGAACACTTAGAGGATTCATCCCCGGCCTTGCTGGAGCTCTCAGTCTCCTGATGAGCACCAACTGGGGATCTGGGGGAAGAGCTAATATAACAGCAAGCTCTTCCCTCCAGAAATATTTCAGCAGCAGTGGTTTTACTCATAGCTGTGGGCGAGGTCCTGCATTTTGCCTGACCCTTGCTGCAGCTGGCTCCTGCCTTGTCTTGCTGTGTCCTGCTTTGCTGTCTCTTGCGTTGCTTTCTTGCCTTAGCAGTGCAGATCTTTCTATGAGTTGTGCTTCAGCTTCTGACTCTTGCTGGACCCTTGCTGCATCCTGCCTTGCTGTCACACCTCAGCAATGCAGGTCATCTGCTAGGGCCTTCCAGCTCCTGTATCTTTCCTGACCTTTGTTAGATCTGGTTCCTGCCATGCCTTGCCTTGCCTGCTGCACCTTTGCTGCTCTGGAATCAGATCCCCTTATCCTGCCTCAGGTTCTTACTCCCTCTCTCGTGGTCTTCTGGCTTCTCAACCCTACGCTTGTTTGTGATCTCATTCTTGACTTTCCTGATATGTACTCCTGGTCCCCGACTTCAGCTGGTTCCTTGACCATGTCTCTGGCTCTGACTTCACTGTTGGCCTTTGGACTGTGAAACACTGTTGGGCTATGTTTGGATTCTGTCTTGCTTTGTGCTCTGTTGCTCTGTCCCTGTGCATCTATTTGACTTCTTTTGCCCATGTTCTGGACCCTGACAGCTTGAATTCTCACTTTAACATTTGAAGACTGCTTTTTAACTTCTACTACACTTTCCAGCATTTGAGTAAAGAATCTGATCCTTGTTTTTACCCTATTGATAATGTTTTGCTACCAAAGTGACATATATTTCTACACTGGGTATAGCATAACCTTTCATACCCTGGGACTTTCCAGATGTGTTAGGCTAGAATTTCCATAATCCCCAGGCAGCAGAGAAAATGTGCATGCTATCTAGGTATGTCTTTCCTAAGATTATCACTTATTATGCAGTTGCTCTTTCTGAAGTCAGACCCATCCAAGTAAGAAGTAGGAAGTACACAAGGCCTGCTTTCAATAACATGATTTCAAATACCCAGCCAGCCAAATGCTGTACCTTTCAGGATGAAACAACTCTACCATTCTCCTTTGAAACATCCAGTTTGTAAAGATACATGTAGATACTATGCTTTCTTATTAATATTCCATATGCTGCTTACTAAAAGGCAGTTCAAAGTAAGCCACATATGCACATGGTACAGCCCTCCACAGAGTATGCCAATTGATACTGTGCATGGGTGGGGTGATTTGACATTAATGAACACAGGGGGAAATCTGATGTAGAGGTTGAAGGCTGTTTTGACATTTCTGGACAAATAATCCTTCATATACATTCTGTAGACTAATAAGGAAGACTGCATCAGATGTTTATCTCTGAAAAGCTTTCCAGTCCTCCTTTTGTTCTGAATGAAATAAGCATACTATTTTTCCCTCTGAATAGGTCTGTACCAGAACAACAAGAACAAAAACCCCTTTATCCTTTTGAGACCTTAATTGGTAAGCAATCCAGAATATTAGTTTGCTGACAAAGAGAAATCATGATTGAATGATCACTTGAAAGCACAGACAATCTGAATATACATAGCCCTGTTTTAAAATCTTGACAAGCTAGTTAGATGCATAGAAGCTGGGAACAGTTATTCTCCTCGGTGCTTACCCAGCACACTGACAAAGGCATTGGCCAACAGGTACCCATGTTCATTAGAAGCATTGCATTGGTATACAGAGCTGCTGCCACTCTGAATGTCCCGAAACATAATCGTATCTCCATTTACTTCACGGCTTGGGTTGGGAGCAGAACCTTTGAGAGACACAGACACAGACATGATAGGGCAGCCTTTAATCTTAGCTGGGACAGAGACACTATAGATAAAACAGCTTTCTTTATATCTATAAAAATACGACAGGCAGGAAAACAAAACCATTGTTCTAAAGTAGTAACTTTAGCTAGGTTGGGCCCAGCCAAAGGCAAACCTCATGTTTGATAGGATTCTTCTCTATACTACCTCCCTCCCTCCTTGACTGTATACTATACTGTTGAGACAATATATTAAAGAACAAATTGACACCAGTTAACTTGAGAGCATAATAAATTATGCCCGAACTGTAAAATGTGCATACCCAAAGATGGTGTAGTGCCAGGTGGGTGGAAGACTGTTGTTGACCTCCCCTTAGTTTACAAAACATTGAGTGGTTCAAGTCCAGGTTCAGTCTACCTCTCAAACTAAGAAACAGTGCAGAAAGGGGCAAAGCAACAGTCTCTGAGCCCTTATGTACTTATGGACTGAGTCAATGTTCTTTTGGCTCAGCTTAGCTGTAAATCCCAGGACTGAACAACTGCTTCCTTTCTCCTGATGCTTAAAGCAGATCCCAGTGATCATAGCGAATGTACCACAAAATCTATTCGAACAATTCCTAACTGCAGCTGCACAAGGCAAGTTGAGGCTTTGATAAGTTGAGGCTTTGATAGACACCTGGACTGTGGCTCAATAACAGGGATTTTTTTTCCTTTTTCTGGCATTGTAGCAGGTGGCAGAGGGGAGTATCTGGAGTACTGTGAGTATTGTTGGGAAGTTTAGACTGCTGTCCTGATAAGCTATGTTGGTTCATGGGCATTTAAATCAGGTAGTGCATTCATGCGCAGGAGCTATGTATGGATCACACAAATATGTGACAACATGCATAGATACATCATAAGCAATCAGAGTAAAACAGAGGAGCTTTGTTAAAGATTAGCACTGAACAGAGCCCTCTTGAGATCTCTGCCCTACTGCTTACTGGTGCCAGTTTATTTAATAATTCTGTCTTCTGTTCAAGGAATCATGACCATTGCTTGGAAAGAGGGCTCAGCCCTAAGATCTCAGTTGCTTCAGTATTCTTGTATTTTCTTCCCCATAATCATTAAGTCAAACATCCTGTAAGGCCTATAAACAACTTATTTCCCATTTGTAACAGATTACAGGTGGCGCAGTGGCTTAAACCGCTGTGCTGCTGGGCTGGTTGATTGAAAGGTTGCCGGTTTGAATCTGCACAATGGGGTGAGTTCCCGTTGTTCTGTCCCAGCTCCTGCCAACCTTGCAGTTTGAACGCATGCAAATGCAAGTAGATAAAAAGGTACCACTTTGGTGGGCAGGTAACAGCATCCCGTGCACCTCGGTGTTTAGTCATGCTGGCTACATGACCACGGAGACTGTCTGCGGACAAACGCTGGCTCCCTCGGCTAGGAAACTGAGAAGGGCACCGCCCCCTAGAGTCAGGCATGACTGGACTTAATGTCAAGGGGAAATCTTTACCTTTACCTTTTACTTATAATACTTACTTTCTATAAGTTCTCCATTAACTAGCCACTGGATTGAAGGTTTGGGGTTACCATTGGCTCGACAAACCAGTCTCCCATCCTCACCAGGAGCCAAAATAAGGTTCTCTGGTTCGTCCAACCAGTAAGGAGCAGCTTTAGAACAAGAGAAATACAAACTCAAACACTTTGCCTTCTGTCATTACAGCTGATGCTCATTTCATTGCATACTTATTTGGGACACAAGCAAAATATCCCTAATATACAGTATTCATAAAAGGATGCAAAAAAGATGCACATATACAAGAACATGACAAGCATAAAAATAAACAAAAGACATAAGACTGTGTCGATAAAATGCCATAAAAATGTTCAGTCTACTGCTATTGTTCTTTGGGTCTCACAAATGCTTGGTGGACTGAAAGTGTTTTTGCAGAGCAGCTTCAGTCTGATGGACCACTCCAGGGAGCAATTTTTATAGCTAGCTAATGTTCTGCTCTTTGTGCCTGCTGAGTCAATTTTTCTCAGGTTGAGAACGATGAGTGGGGGCTCCAAAGCAGATCCAAATGAACAGGATGCTTCATCAAGAAGTTGTTTTTATTTAGGAGAGGGATGCTTTGGCACTGATGCCTGCCCTTGGTCCTTTGTGTCTAGCAAGGGTGAGCAGTCATATTAAATTTCTTACAAGGACCCACAGCAATGTCCAATTGTGTCCCTGAGGCATTGTAGAAAACTTGCTTCCTCCAGTGGGGAATTCATTTTAAGTTACCCAGAATGCCTCAGAGAGATGCTACATCTATGGCATTGTGGGAAATTGAAATATCCACCTGCCGCAACCACCATCAGTCCAGCCCATGGTTGAGGGACTGTAGAGGAAAAGCATGATGGAGCACAAGGGCTTCCTCAAACCTGGAGCTGGTTTAGGCTGCTAGGGAATAATCAGCACCTAGCATAGTGTCCACAAATCAAGCAGGCAGCTAGGTCAAAGTCAGTATTACTGCTAGAAAACTTGTTACTGAGTGTCAGGTGTTGGCATTAGTCACCCACCATAAGAGACAGCTAGATTTCTTCCATAACACAGGGCTGGATTCACACTCTTGGCAGCAAGTGAATAGGCAAGAGCAAAGGATCTTTATATGCCTGTATGTAATATCTCCTTTTTGTCTCTTTGATGAGGACAGGCCTATTTTCATATTGACAAGAAGGAGGGAACTTCACTGACCTGACCTGTTCTGGAAACAAGTAGTTCTGCTCATTTCCAGGGTTGTTTTAAGAGGCGCTAATGCTTCTGCACATAGCAGATCTACCAGAGGTGCAGCAGCAATGTGAGGTACTGCCCTATCTTTTGTGGGCACACATTTGGTCAACCTGGGTAAAGAGACCCTGGCTTCTCCAATAATAACAGAACACTGTAAAGGGCAGGCTGTCTTCTCCTGATAGCATGAATTTAGAGAGCTTCAGCTGTGGAGCCATAGAGAAATGAAAGAAATAAATTAAATGAAATCTGAATGTTCCTCTGTGAATTAAAAAAAAATCTATATATGCAGAAAAAAGCAAGACAGAGAAACGGAGGCCCAAGAGTCTTTTTCATTGACAGCTAGTTTTCTGTGTGAAAGGTTTAATTTTTTTCCTAATTATTTGGGAGAGCATTCAGTTATGAAAGCTGCCACCTGCCTGTAGGTGTAGTTATTTGCCTATAAATCTGCTGTCTTTGTGGTCTTTGCACTGGGCACGAAGTGATGCCGCCTCATTGACTCCTTATGATCACCAGCAGATCTAGACACACGTGTATGCAAGCACTCCACAAAGCAGAACACCTTTAGGCTGTATGAGCAGTTGCAGAAAAATAATCCCAGAACTGTTTCATCAAATCAGTATTGACAGGTTTACATTCCTTCTGCTAAGTGGAATAAAGAAAGGCCATATGTTCAGTTCTCAAAGGATGAAAACAGTTAAAATAGTGTGTAAGAACGGGAGGTTGCTTGTCAGCTTGAGCTGCTATACCGAAAGGTTTGCTTGATTCCATGTTCCAGTCACATGGGCAGAGCACCAAAGAGTGTTCTCCTTGGCCTCCCCACGCTCCTTGCAGTTCTCTTTTGATTTGCTAGCTGCTAGACAGAGGAATCTAGACTGGCAGAGTAAACATGACGTACCCTTCACTCTGACGGAGATAGTGTGGCGGCTAATGCCCACTTTGTTCGAAGCCAAGCAGAAATATTCCCCGGAATCTTCCTCGGAGACATTGGCAATATGAAGAGCCTTCTTAAAGTTCTCCAGTTTGTACCTGCCTGCTGGAAGTTCACCTCCTTTCTTGTGCCATGCGATATCTGGAGTTGGGCTGCATGAAAGAGAATGGGATTTGAGTCTTTTATGTGAAAATGTTTTCAGTGTGAGATGCGTACTTTAAAGGATTTCCCTGGAGCCCAACTTCTTAAACTAGTGTCACTCAACTAGATGCCTTCCAGATGCATTATGACACAAGCCCCATTATCCACAGCTAGGATGCTTGTAGGGAGTGTTGGGAGTTGTAGTCCAATACATCTGGAGTATACCATCTTGAGGAAGGCAGTTCTAAAACTGGCTTTCACTTTGTACTTTCTCAAAATCCTAGACAAAGATCCTGAGAGGATCCTGTACCCTCACTGACAAGAGGCCAAATCCTAATGATTGAATTCATTCATGGAGAAGATTCCATTTCTGGCTTGTGTGGCTAAAATAATTTAAAGAAGCCAATCAGGGAAATACCTTTGTCTGAGATCTTGAGAGCCATTTCTGTTCAAGAGTAGGCAGCATTCAACTTGATGGGGAAATGACCTATGTTTATGGGTCACATCAACAACTTTGTGAAGCAGTTGCCTCAGGCTTTCACAGCTGGTTACCTCTATTTTGCAGTCATAAGAGTTAACATAGATGATATAACAAGGTATAATTGAGCTCTATTGGGTAATCATAGCACATGATCCCCATATTGCTCTTGAAATACTCTCTTAAAGTATATCACAATGCAAGGTTAGACAGAAGGAAAACCTGAAACTTCCAGCATGAATAG